ACCCGGGGAATATCTGTGAACGTTCGTTTTGGGTGAAAAATGCCAAAAAACGAACGTTCCCAATATAATTCTTCCCAGTTCCAATGTATGGTCCTGTAATACAACATTTTGGCCACTAGATGGCGCTGAGGAGATTGGAATGGATCTCCTCGGCTCCACCTGTGGCCATAATGAAGGATTACAGGACAATACATTGGTACTGGGAAGAATTACATATTATATTATAATTATTCCCAGTTGCAATGTATGGTCCTGTAATGCTTCATTATGGCCACTAGGTAGAGCTGAGGAGAGAAGTATTGAGTTCCTCTGCTCCACAGCGCCACATAGTGGCCATAATGAAGCATTACTAGTGGCCATAATGAAGCATTACAGGACAATACATTGGAACTGGGAAGAATTATATTGTGAATGTTAGTTTTTTGGCATTATTCACCCGAAACGAAAGTTCACAAAGTGAAGTTGTCCTTCAAGGTGTCGTTTTTTTAAATCATTTTTGGTTCTCGGTTCGCCGGCTGTTATCCCGGGAAGCCGGGCGCGGGCACTTACCTCAGCAGGTAAACGTTGCTGTTGCCGTGGAACCAGCTGTAGGTGAGATTGGCGGGGTAGGCCTCGGCCTGGCAGGTCAGAAAGGCATCTTGGGAAACGTTGACGGTGATGTTTTCCGGGGGGACGACAATGACGGGCGGACCTAAAAAAAGGGGGGAGGTATCAGGTAAGTAATATTAAAGAGGCATCAGTTATAGGAGGTGGGCGGAGCCTCACGCGCATAGGATGGAAGGGGGAGGCTGGAGGACCTGTTATGTCTATGTCCTCACTGGGGGGGGATTCCCCATCTCCGTCTCTCCTGGTTTCATTGTCTCCGGTGCAGGAAGTGATGGCAAATCCAAAAAGATACAGTTGTCACTAGAACAGGAAGTGAGGGGAAATCTTCCAACGCTCAAGTGACAACTAAAGAGAGAAATCTCCTCACACTCCCTTGTCGTGTCTCCGGGAAAAACCTGACGGAGGTTCTAGAACTTCCCCTCATTATCCCAGAAACAAAAGTACACATTGAAGAGATTTCCTTTCACTTCCTGTCCTGGGGACACGGCAGGAAGTGAGGTGAAGTGTCCCCCTATAGGACGATTTCCCTTCTGTTGACAACACCGGGGTGCCCCCAGGGCGGGAACATATCACAGTCACCACTTTTCGGATGTAAAAAAATCAAAAAGTTCCCACCTTGGACCAGGACGCGCGTTGCGTGCGTCACCTCTCCTTCCTCGCTGGTGGCGTGACACGTGTAGACGCCGGCGCTGGACCTCTGCACCCCGCTGATCCGCAGCGATCCATTACTGACCTGCAACCAGAACAGACGACGACACCAAAGCGAATGTTACATTGTTTCCACATAATATCTTCTATATGGAACTGTTGCCGAGCAACGTACACAGGACACGCCCCCTCTTCCTGTATCGGGTTACCTGACAACCCTTCACGAAGGGGAAGTCATGCCGGGGGTGCCAAAGACGACTCGCCCTTCTCCGCTCCGAATCCTCCTCCGTCTACAGCTGCTGGTGTCTCCTGGGTCGTATGACGCCCGGTGTCATTTAACCCATTCTTCTGAGCCCAGGGCGTCATGGACACGCCCCCCTGGGATTGCATTATCATCATGCTGCCCTGGGCTCACAGGTGAATGGTGCTCGTGTCATTACGTCAACACATGGGCAAAAGAGGACCCTGGACCAAATGACTTTGTGTCGCTATGGAGGAGATTTCCCTTCACTTCCTGTCTTGAACACACAACAGGAAGTGGGTTGAAATCTTTCCAAACTAAGGGGAATTTAACTCCTTGGCAAGCTGTCAGCTAAACCGGTGTCCCGGTTGGAGGATTTCCTCTTTATTTCTATCCTTCCCGCCCAATCACAGGCCTCGGCTGTACATTCACTTCAATGGCAGTGTAGTCTCCAGAAAGGTCCCGGATCTGCCTACGCTCTCTGACAAGGGGGGGTTGCCTTGACTGCAAGACTGGCTGAGCAGAATCCTTTGTCGGGGAGAACGATTCACATCCGTGTGTTATATAAAATATATCTATGATGTCATACAATGTATCAATAATACGACTTATATCATCCGTGTTATAATTACTCCGTCATCAATAGATGATACACAATGTCCTACAGGGGCGCAGTACTGAAGAGTGACCACAAGAGGGCAGCACAGGAACAGGGAAATCCCCATCCACCTCACACCGAGCGACAACGGCTCTGACACCACGTGACTCCCCGGCAACACGGGACTGCCGACACTGCGCACACACAGCGGGTGTACAGACCCGGGAACTCAGCTCAGGGATGGTGGGGGCCCCTCATAATGGGCACAGCGGGTGTACAGACCCAGGAACTCAGCACAGGGATGGTGGGAGCTCCTCATAATGGGCACAGCGGGTGTACAGACCCAGGAACTCAGCACAGGGATGGTGGGAGCTCCTCATAATGGGCACAGCGGGTGTACAGACCCAGGAACTCAGCACAGGGATGGTGGGAGCTCCTCATAATGGGCACAGCGGGTGTACAGACCCAGGAACTCAGCACAGGGATGGTGGGAGCTCCTCATAATGGGCACAGCGGGTGTACAGACCCAGGAACTCAGCACAGGGATGGTGGGAGCTCCTCATAATGGGCACAGCGGGTGTACAGACCCAGGAACTCAGCACAGGGATGGTGGGAGCTCCTCATAATGGGCACAGCGGGTGTACAGACCCAGGAACTCAGCACAGGGATGGTGGGAGCTCCTCATAATGGGCACAGCGGGTGTACAGACCCAGGAACTCAGCACAGGGATGGTGGGAGCTCCTCATAATGGGCACAGCGGGTGTACAGACCCAGGAACTCAGCACAGGGATGGTGGGAGCTCCTCATAATGGGCACAGCGGGTGTACAGACCCAGGAACTCAGCACAGGGATGGTGGGAGCTCCTCATAATGGGCACAGCGGGTGTACAGACCCAGGAACTCAGCACAGGGATGGTGGGAGCTCCTCATAATGGGCACAGCGGGTGTACAGACCCAGGAACTCAGCACAGGGATGGTGGGAGCTCCTCATAATGGGCACAGCGGGTGTACAGACCCAGGAACTCAGCACAGGGATGGTGGGAGCTCCTCATAATGGGCACAGCGGGTGTACAGACCCGGGAACTCAGCACAGGGATGGTGGGAGCCCCTCATAATAGGCACAGTCTCACCTGGACCTTGTCTCCGCCCCCTATCGCCACGTTCTCCCTCTTCCAGGACACGACAGGTTGCGGGTTTCCATAGGCCAGGCAGGTGAGCGTCAACGTGTCTCCAATGCGCACTTCCACGGACATGGGTGGAGTCTCTCGGAAAGAGGGCGGGGCTGTGAAGAAAGCAGGGAGTGATTGGTTAGCAGCCCATAGGCGGTGATCTCTGGGGGGGGAGGGATCACACTGATACATTGTATACACATAAAACAATTCCATCTGACCAATGTGGTTGTCCATCGGGTTCTGCAGGATGGTGGGGGAGGGGACAAGCCGGGCAGCGCTGGCCTCCAGCAGAGCAGAGTATTTTTGAGGGCAGAAGAGTTTCAGTGAGCTGCACTGTGCGCTCCCCTCCCCCCTGTGTAATCTCTGGATTAGGAATGTGAAGAATAAAACCACATGAAAGGTTTACCACCCACAGCACGGAACGTTCCATTCACTGGGGGGGAGCGGCCTCATAATTACACACGTGGAAGGAGACCGTGATCCTCATCAGCACACTGGCTCC